GTAGGACTTTGGGGCCCTTTATACTATAGTTGTAATAAGAAACTCAGGATCTGCACTTGGAGGGTCGGAGGACTTAGTAAGTAAGTGATAGGTAGAGTTATAAGTGCCCTAAATGGGATCCTAATTGGGGTTTTGGTACTTATAACTCTATAAAAGTAACTGCTTGCTAAGTCCCCCGACCCTCCAAGCAGGGTTTTGGACTCTCCTTCACTCAGAGTTTCAAGGTCCCTTCGAAGGAGAGTTCGGGGGGATCGTGAAGGTTTGCTTTCGATTTAGGCTTCATGGCTGTTGGGGTTTTTTGGGGAAATTCAAACTAATAATAATCTCAGCTCGGCATTCAGGTGATGATCAGTTGGTTCAGAGAGCCGGAGCTCTTCCACAAATTGGGTAGTTCTCTAAAACAGGCCCCCTTTTAGGTCCCCAATATACAGTACGGCGCCCTAACGAAAAGGACCCTGAAACGGACCCTAGTTTTAGAGAACTACCCAAATCGCGACGCAGACACGCCGGGCTCTGCTTTCGACTTGGCCCGTCGAAGTTGCATGCACTACAACCCACAAGTGCAACTTTCACAACCCATCTGTCAACCCCACCCCTAAACCCTAAAACCCTAAACCCTAAAACCCTAAACCCTAAAACCCTAAACCCTAAAACCCTAAACCCTAAACACTAAAACCCTAAACCCTAGCCTCGACCCCTGAAGCCCTCAACCCCAAAACCCTAAATCCTCCTAAACCCTGTTTAGGGTTTAGGATTCAGGGTTTAGGGTTTGGGGTTTAGGGTTTAGGATTTGGGGTTTAGGTTTTGGGGTTTAGGATTTAGGATTCTGATTTAGGGTTTCGGGTTTTCGTTGAATCCGATTGGATCAGTCGAAGAAGGTCGCAGCAGAAGCTACACAACCCTGGCTACACATCCTCCAGGCACAACTCCAAAATCTATCATGACAGTCCTGCATTACCCTAAAAGTGTGGTACATTCCTTATTATAGGTAATGTAGGAATGCAGGATTTAAAGCATCAACCGCATCCGAAACCCTAAACCCTACAAACCTTATAAGATGACACTTGTAAACCCGAACACCCTAGCCTAAACCTGGTAAACCCTACAAAACGAGTCTAAACCACTATAACCTAGCCATTGGGCATACCGTTTTAAGGTTTAGGGTTTAGGGTTCAGATAAATAAGAGTCCTTCATATAGACATAACGAGTAGGGACCACGTTCCAAGAGGATCGTCAACATAGGACCCTAAACCCTAAACCCTAAACCCTAAACCCTAAACCCTAAACCCTAAACCCTAAACCCTAAACCCTAATTTATTTTGGAGACCCTAACCCCAAACCCTAAAAACCTAAACCGTTAACTCCAAGCCCAAAAGCTCTAAACCTGTCAAACCCTAAGCCCGAAGCTCAACATTGAGCCTTAAAGCCCTAAAACCCTGAACCCCTAAACCCCGAAACCGACAAACCCTAACCCCAAAGCATCTTACTTCGCTTGATACTCTAAACCCTAAACCCTAAACCCTAAACCCCGCAGTCTGCGTGAAGGCCTGGCCTCCCGGCACAGGGATTTCACCAGCTTCTCAACCTGGCGGGGTGCAGGGCTTAGAAGTTTTACGGTGGGTTTAGGGTTGAGGGATGATATAAATCCGGGTTTGGGTTTAGGGTTTAGGGTTTAGGGTATTTAAGGGTTTAGGGCTTAGGGTTAATATAGAAGCCTACACAATTGCCAATATTCTCTTGGGGGCTCCTTAACATAATTATACTACAAACGAGCCCAAAACCTATTCTAATTATCAAGAAACCGACGTTAAGGGTTTAGGGTTTTGTTTGCACACTTTTTTCCGTCTAGACTCCAACCAGCACATCCAGAACGTCTGCTTCAGATAGGGTCTAGGGTTTAGGTGTTTTCAGGATTTAGGGCTTAGGGCTTTACAGTTTAGGGCTTAGGATTTAAGGTAGTGTAGGGGCCTTAATAATTAGAATAAGGTTCTGGGGGTTCCTTACTGTAATTATAGTATAACCTACCCCCAAACCCTATTCTAATTATAAAGGCCCCTCTATTACCAGCTTCTAAACCTGGATGAGGGTTCGCCGGGTAGGGTTCCTTTAGGGGCTTAGGGAAGGATCCCGGCAGGGTTCCTATGGGGCTTCCTACAAGGGATCAATGACGGCACTCTAGGGTCAGGGTTTTTATGGGCAGCTTGGGGTTTAGGGTTTAGGTATAGGGATTAGGGTTTAGGGTTTAGGGTTTAGGGTTTAGGGTTTAGGCCGGTTTAGGGTTTAGGGATTTGGTTGCTGATGATCACTCAGTCAGGGCTGGCTGAATGCCCATAGGCTCCCCTCAAGCCCCTTGAACCCAGACCGTACTGGGGATTCTGCTACCTGGGAAAGGGAAAAACCGCTTCCTCGGAAAACGCACAGTTCCGGTAATCCCAGACTTAGTTGAGGAGTTCATAAGCCCCAAAAAGTGTACACTTTCAGTTCTATAAGGGATCATATTATCCCAAAAAGTGTAAAGTGTGCTCACTCAGCTACTAAGCAGATTACCTTGCAATAGGGAGAAACCCCCTGATCAGAATATACGCTCATGAGCATGATGCTCTGCAAGGAATCCTAAACCCTAAACCCTAAAGCCTTAACCCTAGACCCT